GGGTCCGAGCAGCGGGCCATCCCTGGCAACCACCACAGTTAGGGGTCTGAGCAGCGGGCCATCCCTGGCAACCACCACAGTTATTTTCAGTCTATGAAAGGGAGCTCCTACTGTTTACACTTAGGCAATGACCATCACACTAAATACAGCCTGGAGGGAACAGGACTTCTGATAGGGTCATTGCCACAGTGAGTTCTCAGGACCAGAGATCTGCTGAGCAGTTGAATGGAATGGCATCTGGGGTAAGTTCCAGACCCTGTTTAAGTCCAGCAGGCTAGAGAAATGTTATTTTATCATGACTAACAGCCAAGCACAAATTGAAAACAGAGAAAATACACTTTAAAGTCATTAAACTGTGTGTTTATCAACTAACAAAGCACCTTCCCCTTACCTTAAGATCTCTGTGAATCAAAGCTTTTGAATGTATATAATCCACCCCTGTCGTTATTTGTTCAAATAATTCCAAAAGTAAATCTTTGTCTGTTTTCTTCTGCTCTTCATTTGCCAACCAGTTCTCCAAAGTTCCTTTATCACAGAATTCCATTTGAATGAAAAGGTACTGGGTCTTTGATCTGGACACAAAATTCACCATATGTTAAAAGCAGCAATAGAGAAAAAAATTAAAAATTCTAACATCTTATGCAACCCAAACAAAATATGTCCGTGAATGAATATCTGAATATAGTAAATGTGTAATAAAACAAATTACTTTACACAAATCATAATTTCTCAAGTTTATAGAGCTTCAAAGGTTTATCTATAAAGTATGAGCCTATATATTCTATTTATTTATTTATTGTATATTGATATTTTTCCTGCATGTGTCTCTGTGTGAGGGTGTCAGATCTTGGAGTTACTGACAGTTGTTAGCTGCCATGTGGGTGCTGGGAATTGAACTCAGGTCATCTGGAAGAGCAGTCAGGGCACTTAACCACTGAGCCATCTCTCCAGCCCCAAGCCTATATATTCTTTAGTGCTGAAGATCTCTGATCACTTTTGATGACAGATATGAGCAGTCCTAATTGCAGAAATCCAGGTTTTTCATTTTATATAGAGCAATTTGGAAGCATTTTAAGTCATCTTCAGTTAATTGAACATCTGTTTTACAAGAGGCACAGAACAGGCATCTTAAAAATGAGAAAGTGAGTCAGGTACTATCCTTATCATCATGGGGACAGAGTCTCAAACAAGAGGTTAAAAAAGATCCCAAGATGACAGCCCATTGAGAAACTCGTAAAGATGGGCCAATGAATTAATTACTGTAGGTCAGAATTCAGATGGCTGATTTTGTTAATCAGTTTGTATTTTCTTCTGAACTAAGTTGGCTTGATATCAAATTTATATTTTCTGAACACACATATGCTAGAAAATATGAAGATGTAACCAATAATTCCTTCAAAGACAATGAAACCTTTTATCTCCTGTTGGTCAGTAACGCTTAGAGTTCTCCATGGCACAAGGAGGAGATGGGACACTGGCAGGACATGGTGAATGATGAGGTCTCCATTGGCGTCAAGAGTTCAGTGAGAAGGCTGTACCCAAGAAATCTGATAACTTTCAAAGGCAAAAGCCAGTTTTTTGTTTGTTTGTTTGTTTGTTTGTTTGTTTGTTTTTGTTGTTGGTGGTGGTTTTTTTTTTAGAATTCCCAGTCCTATAAAAGGGGCTGAGACAAAACAAAGCATTAGGGATACCAGCAGGGCATGTCCTGCCATAGCTCACCACTCCACCACAGTGGCACAGCTACATTCCAGGGGTGCACTGCCAGGAGCCTCTGAGAAGAGAGACAGGCAAGTTTCAGCAGCAGAAGAGGAGACCTTTGGATTCAGCATCTACACGATAAGTCTGTCTTAACTCCGATAAACAGTATATGCCCTGCACTGCTTCTATGGAGAACAATAAGGTCATGAATGCTAGACATGGGATTTTTTTTAAAAAAGAAAACTTTAAAGGTTTTTTTTTTAAGATTTATTTTCAAATTACGTGTCTGTGTCTCTGTGTGGGTATGTGTACATGAATGCAGGTGCCGACTGAAGCCAGAATTGGAACTACAGGTGGGCGTGAGCCACCTGACATAGTGGCTTGATCCTCTGTAAGAGTGATTCACACTCTTGACCACTGATCCATCTCCCCATCCCATTAAAAATATTTTTTAAAGCAACTGTGAGCTAAGCATACTGGCATGTGCTTGTGCCTGTGATATCACATTGCCTGGGGACTGAGGCAGGCGGACCACCCTGAGGTTAGTCTGTGCTATGTAGTGAGTCTAAAACAAAGAAATTAAAACAAATTCAGAAGATAGAGAGGAATGGGGAGGGCAAGGTCATTTGTTGTCGCCTTGCCTGTAGAACAAACGAACACAGTGTCGTTCAGAGGTTGCTCTGATCATTACATGTGATGATCAATTAAATGTGATGGCCTTCACAAAATAAATGACAAGTGCCTTCCATCCCATTGCAGGTGTGAGAATCTCTTCTTACCGACTTGAATTGCCATCTATGATCTTCTTAGGATTGTAGTCCTCTTCCAGCCAACAAGAATGATATTGAACAATGTTGACATGATTGAGCGTTGCCAGCGCTTTTACTTCACGCACAGCCTTCCTACTTAAAAGCACCCAGAAAACAAATGTGTTATTGCCTATCATTGATAATTATGGAACTTCTCAGGTAAGCAGATGCAACGTACGTTGGATAGTCACTATGGCTCCCACACTAAGTTTTAGCAGGAGAGCCAGAACTCAAGAGGGAACAGAAGGGATTGAGTGCATAGAACCACGGTTGTTCTCATTCTCAACATAAAAGAAAGGACAGTGGCTTAAAGGACAGACATCTAAAATTTAAACATCATTTGCATCTTAAGTGTCTGTAACACAATTTTCAGTAGCTATATCATATCTAATATTCTGTATAGATGAGTCTCAAAATCTTGGAATTTTACAAGTGAATCCCATTTGGGCAACAAAGACAGGTAACCCAGGCAGCAAGCAGAACCCAATTTAGAACTTTCGATGTATGACAAAAATACAGGGCTTGGGCTCAAGAGCTAAGACATTGTAATAGTTTCTTGAAATTACCCTGTATTGAATGGTTTTATGTCAGCTTGACACAAGCTAAAGACATCAGAGAGCAGAGAATCTCAAAACGAGAAAAACTGAGAAAATCACCTTAAACTAAATAAGTCAACAGTTTCAGGGTCCAGGACTGTCTCAACACGAGGCAATAATATATATATATATATATATATATATATATTTGGTTTTTCAAGACAGGGTTTCTCTGTAGCTTTTGGATCCTGTCCTGGAACTAGCTCCTGTAGACCAGGCTGTCCTTGAACTCACAGAGATCCTCCTGCCTCTGCCTCCTGAGTGCTGGGATTAAAGGCGTGCACCACCACTGCCCGGCTAGAGGCAATCATATTTTTAAACTGAAAGAAATACCCACTGTAAGGTAAGGCCATTTCAGACTAAGTCAAACTCCGGTAGCCATAATGAAAAGGTAAAGAGGACATAAAACAAGTAAGTAAGTAATGAAGGACAGATATACAAAGAATAGTGAAGGTCAACACACTGTGTTCACAAAAACCAGACATTTACTTACTCTTTGTTATATTTAACACGCTTTATAGCATAAGTCTTCCCATCAATTTTGTGTTTTGCTTTGAAAACTTGACCAAATCCACCTGAGCCAATTTTTTCTATGTCTTCAAAATCCTTCTGAAACCTAGTTAAGATTGATATTGCTGTCATTGCTAAGGTTTAGTTAGATGAAAATGATTCTTTCTTTCTTGTCTTTAATAACATTTGGTAGAGCTCTTAAGTCACAAAACAATGTCTTCCTCCTTCTCCTTCTCTCCTCTTTTGATGGAGAATCAATAAAACAGACCACCCCCTCTGGCTGTACATAGGACACACTGAAGTATCCTTTTCACTGAGTACAAAGAAGATGAGAAATCCCCCCTACCCCCAAGTATTAAATCTAGAAAGAATCACTCAGTTGTGTGCCACAGGTACCAGAGGGAAAGCAGAAGCCCTGAGCCTTCCTTGGACTAGAACAACCTGCTTCTTCCCCTCCTTACGCTGCACATCCGATCATTAAGCCCTGCTCCTCCTTCTAGCCCGTATCACTACCATCTTCCCACTCTTCTCCATTTGCAGCATCCTCACCCAGGGTCAGCCCTCGGGCTCCAGCAGTGGTGACCTGCTGACTGATACCCCGCTTCTCCTGCCTTCCATTAGCTATGAAAACTCAGTCGAACCAGTTCTCCCCGTCATCTATACCTCCTCCAGCTTAGCCTTTGCATTCAGCAAAGAACAGGAAAATCTTAAACAGCCCACAAGGTGCCATGCAGCGCTTTCCTGACTTCTCTTCCAAACTCATCTCATCACGCTGTGTCCTTGTTCATTACACGCCAAGCATGTGCTTTCTCCACAGAAGGCTGACCTCGGGGCTTTGTTTCCATTTTTGTCATACGACTGTTCTTCCTTAACTCTGGTCTGATTTTGTAATTACAATTGTATGTGTATCATATAAATATGTGAATACAGATCGTGTAACTTTGAAAACACATATATGTGCTTGTGTAGGTGTGCACATGTGTGTATGCACATGTGTGAGAGAGAGATGGTGTGTGTGCGTGTGTGCGTGTGTGCGTGTATAGGCCACAGATTGATGGCAGCGGTTTTTCTCAGTGACTCTGCACCTTTGTTTTTTATTTTACTTTGTTTTGTGAGACAGGGTTTCTCATGTAGTCCTGGCTGTCCTGGAACTCGTTACATAGACCAGGTTGGCCTCAAACCCACAGAGATCCTCCTGTCTCTGCCTCCTGAGGGCTGGAATTAAAGGTGTGAGACACCACATCCATCTTACATTTTATTTTTTGAGACAGGATCTCTCTTTCATTGATCTTGGAGCTCACTGATGGCTATGCTGGCTGGCCAATGAGTGCCACGGGGCTATGTCCCCACCACTTCCTTCACTCCCGCTGCTGTCTGACTCACAAATGTGTGTATTGCTACACCAGTCCTTTTTTTAAAGTTTATTGTTATGTGCACGGGTGAGTGTGTCAGATCCTCAAGAACTGGAGTAATAAACAGTTGTGAGCTGCCATATGGATGCTGGGAATTGAACCTGGGTCCTCTGGAAGGGAAGTCAGTGCATTAAGCAGTGAGCCATCAGTCCCCTACACCTGTCTTTTATAGGGACACTTGATAGTCACACTTAGGCCCTCATGTTTGCACAGCTGAGCCATATCCTCAGACCCATTTCCTTAATGCCAGCTATGACTTCAAACTTTTTGAGAGGGAGAATTCTATTTTATTTGTTCTTACCATAAGCCTAGTGACATAATCAGTAGTGATTATATATTAGGTGCTTAATAAGTACTCATTGGTTCTTTTGAAAACTTGTATTCAGTGTCCTGCTGATTCAAACAGGCTCCTTCACCTTAGGTATTTAATTTAACTGAAATAACATCTACAGAAGATGAACCCCAGCCTTTCTCATGTAGAGAAATCTTGTGTGGAGCTGGAAAAAAGGTCCAAGTGGATCGGTTTCCATTCTCACAGGAGTTTCTCTCCTTCCTCCACCTCTCCCTTACCTCCTTTCCTTTCTCTGTTCTTTTTAATCTAAATCATGGATATAAAAGATTATTTGCTTTTAGTTTTTACCAGATTCCAAGGATATCAGAAAGGCTGATAACATCACAGAGATTTTCATTTGCCATGACCCTCCATGGGTCTGACTGGGCCATGGCTATTAATCGCTTGGGTGGAAATATAATTTAGAACTAACCTAGAAGAATCTTTGTTTCATGAGCATGCTTACCATTAGACGAACTTCCCTTACCTGCATTCCATGGTATATGTATTACTTATCGTATCATTAGGTGACAGTTTTCTAAATATGAAACAAAAAAAAAAACAAAACTCAGACAAAAGTAGAACAAAGACAACTTTAGAACAGACTTTATGCCATACACTGGGCATTATCTATTTTGTTTTAGCTGCCAGGGTAACAGGAAATAGTATCAGCTTCAGAAAAATACCTCCTGTTGGTTCTCTTCTGAGGATCCTGTTTCATCCCTTTCCTGCTTCCCATTTTCACCCGGACACACTCATCACTGACCTCCTCTCTCCTTTTTCTCCAGAATCAGAACATCCTTAGGAATGAGGTCCCCTGGTCACTCCCTCTGGCCCTCATTCCTTGATGGTGATAAGCCAACCACAGTAGGTTGCTCAAACATCACCTCATACCAGACACAGCAATACTGTTACCTTTGAGTCCTGACTGAGGTGAGGTCTGTTGTCCTCCTCTTGGCCCCCGTCGCCCACCCGGCTACTCTCTTCCCTCAGTCATGTCTACCCTGCCTTCCCAATCCTTCTCAGAAATCCTCCTCTTCCCTCCTCACTGCCACAGCACCAGAGCTGCCGGCCTGATCATGTGGCAAGTTCCTTTTTCTCTACCCATCCACCTCAGGAGTTGTATGATGTTCAATATACTGCTCAGAAAATATTGGTAGTTTCTTATGTCTCCTGCCTTCTTTTCTGACTGTATGTCTTTACTTTCAGTTTTCTATGATTTATATAAAATTCGGTCTGAAAAAAATAGCAAATTATTGCACTATCTTTACCCTGTCCATCTATAAATATACATCTCTGCTTCCCTTAAAAACACTTCCAAGCCCAGATCTTCAACAGTGTTTTACAAAATAACACTCTAAACTACTGTCTCTAGCTGCATCACCACAGGGCTTTATATCTTACAGTATACCATGGGAATGTGTGTGTGTGTGTGTGTGCGTGTGTGCGTGCGTGTGTGTGTGTGTGTGTGTGTGTGTGTGTTTCTCTGGGGTGAAATTGGTTTATAGGTCTCAAGCTTTCCACTGCTTCTGTTACATCTGTCAAATAAACAGGTATAATAATATTTGCCAATATCACAGACCCTAGGTGAAACCGAGGGACCGAGTCTGAACCAGAACCCTTGTCCAAGCTATGTTCAGGGCACAGTGATACTCACATTCCTGACTTCTTATTTTCTCTGAGACCATTCTGCAACACAAGGAGAAAAGAAGGGCGTTTCAGATGAGGAGAGGAAGTATCTCAGTTCTGGGGCTGACTCTAGGGCCAGGTTCCTTAGTCTGTAAGGTCACCAGCTTCATGGATCTTTGCAGTCTCCCTGAGTCTTCTACCAGTGAATATTGTAAGACGGGAACACTGCCAACCAAACAGCTGTGCAATGGTATCAAATGACTGTTTTGAATTGTATTTTCCCTATCCCTAGCGGAATAAGGAGTCTTTTTACATTGGCTGCCAACTTTGGTGTTGCAAATCCCTTCAGACAGTGTCCATTCTACTGAATCAATTGTCTTTCTCTTACAACTTTGTAGTATTTTTTTAATAAACAGACTAACTTTTTATAACAAATTAACCTGATTTTTTGAAAAAACTTTATTTAACTTTTTACTTCATGCACATTGGTATAATGATGTCAGATTCTCTTGAACTGGATTTACAGACAGCTGTGAGCTGCCATGTGGGTGCTGGGAATTGAACCCAGGTCCTCTGGAGGAGCAGTCAGTGCTCTTAACCATTGAGCCATCTCACCAGCCCCAATTAACCTGATTTTTAAGTTAAGTTCTGATTTTTTTTTTCTAAGTAGAAATGGAACTACACCAAATACCAATTAATCAGTTGGGTGGACAATTAAAAAACAAATAATAGAATTGTTAAAAAGGACAAGAGTAAGGGTTGGGAGGTAGTTCAGTGGTACGGTTTGTCTTGAATTCCTGAAGCTGGAATTTGATTCCCAACATAGGGAGGGAGAAATGGAGGGGGGACAGGAAGGAAGGAAGGAAGGAAGGAAGGAAGGAAGGAAGGAAGGAAGG